GAAGATAAATTTCGTATCTCCGCGCGCCCATGTAATATCCTCTATTTAAAATACACATCCACATTTTGGCAGAAACCACCCCTCATATGATGACAGGTCATGCATTGTTACTTTGACATGGACTGATCATAATTGGACCAATCAGAAAAGTCGACCATGGGTTAAGAGCAATAATTCGGGGGCATTTGGCTAAGGACATATGAAGGAAATCCGCCTTTCACAATAATATTATGGCTCTGTTATTGTTATCCACATTATCAAGGCGAGAGCCCTTACTCGCATCTTTCGTAAAACGTTTCCAAAGTCCCCGCATCATAACTAAAAGTAGAAGATTAGGTTGTGTTGGCTTCGTCAAAGAGAAGTAAGTTAAAATGCAAATCTATTTAGATCTTTTCGAGTAGTTCTCACCTTTTATGATCAGTACAGGCAACAGTACAGCTCTATCTTTTTCTAACTTTTTAACGACCATTGCAATTATCATTGTTCATATATTTACTTCACAAAAACTAGTGTATTTGCTGGTTCTTTGCAGTTTTATTTATTTATTTATTACTGCTAGACGTTTGCTCAATGTTTGCTGTATGATTGCAGAAGTATTTGTACATTTGCGCGAACAGTTATTACACCACAAGACCCCTTACACCGGCTACATTCTGGGATACTTGCAGTTGACTGTTTAAAACATTCAGTAACCACCATAGTTAAGAACTACTTTAAACTACTATTGCTACAGGAAGCGCAAGCTCTGGTTTCGTAGAATACCAAGAACATTGAATCAGACAAACCACATCAAGCGTGAACGCCTAGAAGTCACAACGGGCTGAAGTTAACCGCACATTCAGTCCCACATTCGACTTTGGCTTAAAAATAGCAAGATCGAAAGTAAGCCCTACTCCAAAACCATATAATATTGTTGACAATACTGTCAGCATCTCCCCGACGACAATATTTTTTCGCAGTGTCTAAATGCCCAGCAGCCGGTCGCGGTCTAAAATTGACTAAATGCCCGGCAGTCCAAACTTTCACCAGCAAAACGAGAACTGGCTACAGTTAATGGAATCAAACTAGTCTAACTTTATTATGGTATATTAAGCGCTTCCTGTAGTCTGGACTGATTCGAAAAAAGATTGTCTGTATTCGCTCGGCATAGAATACGAAGCACTTGGTTCATGTCACTTAATATTTTCGCCAACACTGCCGGTCGCAATTTTCGCAAAAAATACGATAAATTACCTACGTTAATGAAGCCAAACTAGTCTACATTTATCGAGGAATACTAAGCGCTTCTTGCACTCTACCCTGCTTCTAATAAGGTTTGTTTGGCTTTGCTCGGCATAAAATAGTATTTTTTGCGAAAGTTTGGGCTGCCGGGCTGCGACCGGCAGTGTTGGCGAAAATATTAAGTGACATGAACCAAGTGTTCGGTATTCTATGTCGAGCACTGAGCCAAACAAACCTTATTAGAAGCAGTGTAGAGTGCAAGAAACGCTCTAAATTCAGAAGAGATTTTTTGGTTTTCATCCGACTTCAACATTTAATAACTCATCGCCGACTATTTAATTCACTCTCGTTTTACCTTAATTACACGCTACAGCCACCAAGGAACCCATTGCAAGTTGTTAGGAGACTACAAATAACTCGAAAGCCTTTAAAAAACGAATCCGAAGTCTGCCCTTCCACACATGACACCCGATACCCTTTTCGTAACGCGACCGCACTTTTGACTGCTTCAAACTTATAATTTCTCTCAAAATTCAAAATTTTACCCCGCATATTTGGCTTTTTACCGTGGCCTAAATTCAGAAGATTTTCGGTTTTCAACCAACTTCAACATTTAGTAACGAATCTTCTACTTCAAAAAATGATTATAGTTTGAAAATTCGTTTAACTTTGCTCGTAGGCTCTTGTCACGCAAGAGAGARCGTTGCGTGACGACACTAAAAGCGGCTGTGGGGGAGACTATCTCTGCCCGGGCGCGCGCTCTTAAAATAACCTTCGGGAAAATGGCGTGAGCAGGGGGTACGGCTTTGAGCGAGCAGGGCCGTCAAGAACGGCCCTGCTCGAAACCTGCGACCGTATTTTCTTTCTTTTCTTTTATTATTTTTCTTTTCGTGAGGGTCATGATAAAATGCTTATAAGTACATATTCCTTGCACAAAAAGTTGTTGTAGGCTTTGAAGATTCATTTTCAATAAGGTCAATGTTCGAATCGGATAATGAAATCAAGAATCCAAAAATAAAATCATTTAGTGACCTACGTGTTCACGCTTGAGGCCATTTGACTAACACTAATGTCCATCATAGTTAGATAACGACTAGTTTTGGAACTAGTTTGGACTGCGTTGGTTTTTTTAGTTGAAACAAATGTGTCGTAGTAGATAATTTAATCACCGTAAATACGAAAGATAATAGATTGACGGTTCGGAAGTTAGTCCTTCGTCGGAGTCAATGACCCCGACGAAGGACTAACGTCTGAAACGTCAGTCTATTATCTTTCGTATTTACGGTGATTAAATTATCTACTACGACACATTTATTTCCATCATAGTTAATGGAGCGGAATGGTTTGGAAACCTATTGTTGTATGTTTTTGTTCGACCTCATATGAAGTCAGTTGACCGTGCAATGAGAAGGGTCGCGGTGAAAAGCGCTGAAAGTCATAAAAATCCAAACATTACATGAATTCAAACCGAAACGTATAAATGTGTAAATGTGTATGTCAATATATAAATGGAGTACAATTCAATTCAATTCAGTTCAATGTTGCAAGTCTAACTGAAAATACCGGTTTACTTATCATTTTCAAATATGAACATTTTGAAAGTGAAAACTTTCATACATTATTTCCGCGCAAATAAAGTTAACTTAGTACATGTAGATGATAAATAAGAAAGCATGAAAGAGGGTGGTCTCCTTTCTAATAAACAATTAAACTTAATCATATAGGATTAATTAACAATTAATAAGTGCGCTCCATTAAGGCCGGTTTAGACGGTACGATTTTCGCCTACAACTATCGTATACAACACGCTCGCGCCATCCTACAACTCGAGTCGTAGCATGTAAATCAAGCCTACAACTCGCCTACGACAGACGAGAGCGTGCTGTATAGGATAGTTGTAGGCAAAAATCATACCGTCTAAACCGGCCTTTAGAGTGCTTGCACTAAAACCGTGAAACAAATACTAATTTTTAGTACTAAATAGTGATAATCAAACAATAGGAAACAAAGGATTCTGTATGAATTACTACTAATTAGACTAAATATTAGAAAATTCACGGGTTTAGTGCGTGCACTCTAACTATGGTGAAGCGCAAACTAGTTTCGTCGTCTTTATGTATAGTTTAATGAATGAGCAGGAGTGTTCTATCAGGTTTAAAACCACGAGCGGTATACAACGACTTTAAAAATTTAAGAATAATTAATAAGCATTTAGGGTCCTTATTCGTCCCATGCTCTTGTACTCTTTTGGTCCTTTATAAAGATTTCAAAATCTTTAAATAAAGATATCCATGTTGAGCTATTATCAGGTGTAAAGATCCATGCGCGTGATGGATTTGAAGGAGCGGATAGGTCCAAATGCTCATTAATTATTCATGATTTTTTGACAATTTACGTCTTAAGCTCGTTTGTCGATTTGTGCCGCTTGATGGGATAAATAAAATTTGAAAAAAACAGTAGTATGTTATGTTGCGCACAACCCCTTTTTTGGATGGGGAAGGGGACGGGGAAGGACGGGGAAGGACGGGGAACATTAATTATTCATCACATATTAGCATAAAACGACGGGTAGGTATTGTTTTGGGTTGCCATGACGACCAATTGACGTCATAAGATTATTGTTGACCGGTATGAACAAGTCTTTGTTTCGGAAATGGTGGGCCATTGATGGGCACATTAATTATTCATCATTAAAACGACGAGCAGACTATTGTTTATTAAATCGTTACCATAAAATGACGAGCAGACTATTGTTAGACAAGTTTGGGCAAGTCTTTTGTCTACCAATCCAATTTATAGAGCGCGGGGATTTTGAATTTTATTCCACATTTGGAGCGCGTAGATATCGTTTTATGAATTATAATTTAGTGACTATTGTATCCAACACAATACAATTAATGACTCATAAACCACAAACAATAAGATTTACGAAGTTCTACCTAATTATTCAAATACAAAGGAAAACGTTGGAGTGTAAAATCTTTATTTATCATTTACTACAGTAATAACAATATTTCAAATATTATAAACCTTTTTTATTGGACTAAGGTTATGAACTAGTGGTCATACAAATGCTTATAAGGGGAACGGTTCATCTTTACTCGTATTGATCGACGCACACTTTTTCCAGGCTTTTTGTTGGGGTCACCTTCTAAATAGTTTAGTAATTCAAGACGTGGTCGTTTACGACGTTTGGGAAGTGAATCAGGTGGGGTCAATAGCGAAGAAGGTGGTTGTATCAAAGGAGAAGGTGCCATGAGAGATAATGTAGGAGTCTCTGGCATTTGTGGTTCAGTGGAAAGTAACACAGGAGAGGCAGTGATAGGTGATAATGCGGGTGGAGGAAGAAAGTTAGAAGGTTCAGCAGGTAGCGGTGAACTCCTTGCGGGCTCGATAGATAATTGGTCTGATGGTGACTGAATTTCCGCAGCGAAGCTACTAAGGGGTGTTGAATTACCTAATCCCACTGTGCTGGGATTTATTTTGTCCTTGTAGCGCAGATAATTGTTCTGGAGTTGAACGTATYGCCTTGCTTTTTGACTTTTGCCCATATTAGGATCCTTTAGAAGAGTATTCATTTGATCTTTCAAGCTTTGCATTCTCGAAATCTCTGGGGGTAGTACAAGATTTTGCCTACCAAGGTAATGAAGCAATTCCTCAGGTACATTTTTCTCTTGCTCTTTCTTCTCTCCAGGGAAGACATTGGTTCTCAGTCTGCAGTCGTCTGGGGTGGTTGTCTTCAAGTCAATGAAGAGATATCCATAAGGTCTACTCACGGCTTGTTCATATTTTTGCAGAAAATATTCAGTTTTTCCAGGATACATTTGCTT